GAGGAGGAGAAGCTGGAGGCGGAGATGGCGGAGGAGGAGACGGTGGAGGAGGAGATCGCTTAGGCGGAGGCGGAGATGGCGGAGGCGGAGACGGTGGAGGCGGAGATGGCTTAGGCACCGGTGGAGGAAAAATTGGCTTAGGTTCCGGAGGCGGCGGCAAAAATGGCTTAGGCTCCGGTGTTGGAGGCGAAAATATAGGAAACGGCTCCGGCCATGGGTTAGGCGGCGGCTGCGTCTCCGAAGGCTTCACGTCAACGTGTAGTTTCAGACCATTATCGCAATTTTCCTGGTTCCCAATCACAAAATACCTATTCCCTTCAGTTTCAAGTGGAATTTGATTTAATCCATCCGTGTACATCTTGATAGGATTTGAGAGATCACAGGATTCGAATTCATCCAGACTCTGCAGCTCCACGATGTTTTCCTGTGGTACTGAGTAGGTAAACCCTGCGTAAAACACGAAAGTAAACTTACTGCTAAGTTGCTTATAAGTAAACTTCCTAAACATTGTTCATACATTTACTGAGCTTTTAAGCTTATTTTCTAAAAAGTATATTTTAAATTCAAAGAAGATAGATGCTTACAGAGTTTATCACCAACCCTGAAGACTCGGCCGGACAACCAAGTACCGATGTCGGAATCAGGGTTCCAACGACGGTTTCCACCGACCACATGGTGCACTGGGCCTTGAACCTCTTGCCCCCCAACTGCCACCGCCACAAGAACCACCACTAGCAGAACCCTTAACGCCTTATCGCCACCCATTTCCACTAGCTTGAAAATGGATTCCCTGTATCTCTCTCCAGAAATGTCAAATAATAAAGGCCAAAAATGAAAAAGGTCGAGACTATTTCGCCCCTGCTATTCCCTATACATAGGTAAAGGTGACAAACACGTGTAAAAGATAGACCAATGAGAATCTAAACACGTGTAAACCTTTAACACATCAAAATGGAACACGAATCAAGATTATTTTTTGGTTAAAAACCTAAAGCATGTTTGATATGGATTAAAATTTGATTTTAATCAATATTAACTATACTTCTATGGATCCGAAAACCTTTATCACAATATACAGAAAAAATTTAATTTTAATACCCACTAAACACCTTTTAAATGATAAATTTATGTATGCTCACTTGAAACCTTGTCTTCAAAAACAAATTAATTTTTAATGCACTTAATTCCTGTTTGAGCTCCATTATAATTAAATTTTTGGAAAAAAAATATGTTTTATAATAATAATTTTTTTAAAAATATGAAATTATAAACGAAAGGAAAATTTTAAATTTGCATATGATATTATTTAATTAGAATACGTGTCATTAAAAAATAGAGAGAAAAATATATTATTAAATTAATAGAACCCAAAGTGTGAGTGATTTATGATTTTTCAAATGTCTAAAAGTGCATATAATAGATAAACGAGCAATAGCTTAGATTTGATTAAAAACCTATGCTAGAGCTATGAAAATTTCATTTAGCGCCTGTTTGATTTCTATCGATTGAGAGAATGATTTTTGAATAGTGATTTTGGTAGAATGTATATACGTAAAAAAAAATTTTGAATTTATGTGTTCAATATTCTATTATTTGAATATGTGGTTGAAAGTAATTCTATTGCGAACAATAAATTAAATTAACGAAAATCAAACAAACCCTTAAAACATCAAACTAAATGAACACTTCGGTTTACTTAATTGTATTTTTTTGATCTAAAAATATGATACGTCACAAATGTTTATGAGTTAAAAGAAATTTTAGACGTATTTGACTAGCTCTCAAATTTATAGTCTTAAAAAACACAAGCCAGTGGAGATGGATGAATCACGTGTAGTCATTGAAATCATGTCTCTATTTTATTTTTGAAAACGTATATAAAATTTCTATCGGTTATTTAAAATCAAATGTCTAAGCCCTGTTTGAGCCCAATTACATTAAATTCTATTACATTTCATTTTTCTTTCTCCTATTTTCAACCACACAATCTTCCATAAATAATATTACACGTAAATCGAAAATTTTTTATTCTTTCTCAACCACTCATTTTTCAAAAAAACTATTTCCCTCATTAAATTTTCTACATAACGGGGATCAAACAGGGGCTAAATGTACATAATATTGATAAATGGGCAAACGACAACCACATCTAAAACATCAGACTTATATGAAATATAAACACGTATATTTATGGCAATCTCGATTATTAATCCTTAACCGTACAATTTTTTAAATTTCATAAACTATCACCTCACCTAAAAAAATTCAAACTCTATAACCACGTGTATTTATTTACAAATCTGATCCTAGTGTGAGTTCATCATTGAATATGAGCTGTGTTGGGGGTACAGACCTTCTTATCGAAATCTCACATCACGTGGGTTCAAAATTTTTTTTATCATTTTTTTATTTCGTTAAGCTTCGCAATGGGGTCGATCTTGTGCGGGAGATCTCGTTTGATTCTGTACAATCAGAATTACTCATTGAATATCAATAATGATGATTGAACGAGCTCAAGAGCAAGACAAAAATGTACTAACTTGACAGCACTTGTTTGGATTTTATTTATTTTTTTTTTGTTTTCAAATTTTCAAACCATTTAATTATACGTCGACACTTGTCCTCTATCTTTTAACCTTTTTCTAGCTTTTTTGCTCAGCATTATTGATTGAATATTTACAACGGGATTGAAAAATTAGCTTTCATTTGTCATCTTTTACATTACATTATTTTTTTTTTGTAATACTCATTTTTAATTACACATTTTTTATTAAAAGAATATTACACACAAATCAAAAAATTCCTTCTCTTTTAATCACACATTCTTCGTCAATCACTATTTCACAATACGAGCTTGTTTGGAAGAGATTAAAATTTGATTTTAATTTAAATCAAAGTCAAATAATCAATGTTAACCACATCTTTCATGGTCCTACAATTTTTTAACCACATATTTCAAAAAAAAAACGATCACAATCTACTAAAAAATTTAAGACTCGTTGGAGAGAAAAGTGAATTTTACCTGTGAGTGAAGAAAAAAAGACGACTAAAATAATAAAATAACTGTCAAAAAATAATTTTTGAGGTAAAAAATTGCTACCGTGGTGTAATTTGAATCCTACCAAACACACACACTACATTCCTTCAGATTAGCGGTTGCTCAAACAGGAAATGAACCAAGAATTTCACCTACCTCCCACTTACATCTGTCATCTTTTGGTAGGTAAAAGTTTGCAATCTGGAAAAGTCACAACTCTCGAGGAATAAATGGGAATTATAAAAATGCGATGCTGATTGACCGATTGACCCTTTTAAATTAATTTTTATTTTTATTTCTCATATTTTCAACCACACACTCTTTCATAAAATAATTATACGCAGATCAAAATTTTTTTCCTTATTTTTTAACTACACATTCTTCTGAAAAATATTATTCCGCCTATTAAAATTTGAAATAATGGGACCAAATAGAGGTTTAACTATTAATTATTATCAATTCTAGGCGCAATATATCTCTAATCTTCATATGTTTTGCATAAAATACACCATTTTAAAGTTTAGTGACACTTATGAGTAAATAAATAATATTTTCTACTAGTCCAGGTTGAGAAATAAGAGATGTAAGTTTTGATAAGAGTCACTATTTTTTCAGTATTTAAAAGTAAAATAACAAGTTATTAAAGCAGTGAAAAATTAATTTTATTTATACCTTTTTCCAGGTTTAACCAGACAGGCTTTATCCATTATCTCCAACAGGCGTTCCTCTCAAGGAACCCCTAAAGTCCCTTGCGTTGATGAATTCTGTCCGTTCAATATTAATTAAACGTGGCGCGTCTCCCACGATGAATGCGTCATTTTATTAATTTTCTGAAGTTGATTGACAGGCAAGCCAATTTTTTCATTGGAATTATCTTGGTGGTGGAAAAACGAGGGCCAGAAGATAAGTTTCAAAGGCCAGCTATATTCCCTGTTTGGAGCCATTTTTTTCCCTAAAAAATTAATTTTTTGATTATTTCACTATTTCAACCATCATATTTGACTTCTTTTCTAACAGATAAATTTCACTTTTCTCCTAACAATTAAAAAATCAATTCTCAAAATCACTATCAAACATGCTCCTATTTGATATTGATTATAAGAATCAATTTTTCAACCGTTAAAAGAGAAAAGTGAATCCAACTTGTGAGTAAAATACTAAAAAAGACAGCTAACTATATTAAATAACGGTCAAACAATTAATTTTTTGATTTGAAAAATCAAAACCAAACGAGAGCTATGTATGAGTATACTTTCATCGTGGCGATCTACATTCTTCGATCAGCACTTGTGCCAATTAAGCCGTGCTGATTAGTTAAACATTTCAATTCATTTCCACTTTCTTAGCCATCTAAACATTTCATCTCAACCCGCATGTTCTAACAACGAAAAATTCGCAGCTTGCATGAGAACGATTTTTTGCTCTAAAAAATTGATTTTTTAATCATTACTTCACTATTCCAACTGTCATATTTGACTTCTTCTCTCACAGGTGAACCCCACTTTTCTCCTAACGATCAAAAAATCAATTCTCAATATCACTCCCAAACAGACTCTCAGTCTTTAGAATTATAATTTATAAGATTGTATAAATAATGACAAGTTTGTTATATATTATTTTTATTATTTCCTTTCTCGATACTGTTCATCATTGGATATTAAAGCTTACCCATGTGTTTTCAAGAAACGGCCTCTACCAAACCGTTAGGGCTATTGAAAAAGTAAAGAGTTGCTTCCAAAACAAAGCAGCTCTTTTTGCACTTGTGTTGATAATTTTAAGGAACAATTAAGACTTCTAGATGAAACTGACTCTAAGTGACTTTTGGATTTCTTCTACAAAAAAAGTAAAAGCAAAAGCAGAATGTATCCCAAACAAGCTCATAATAACTTATATTCATGCACTTAAGTCATGCACTTTAGGTAAAAGTTTAGTAGGCATTACTCGATGAGATTGGACACTACAATAAATAAGATTTAAATTTGTTTTCTTCTTTGATACTGTCCAATACAGGTCATCATGACATAACGCAGCTCAACATCTAACAAACCTAACAAAAATCAGTAGTTTTTCAAGTTGACATGGAGAAAAATGGAATACTATGCGTATCCCAGCAAATCTGACATACACAAGATGCTTTGAAGCAATGCAACAGGCTACTAGTTTCTTCCAAATGTTAAAAGCGCATTAGTTTGACAGGTAAAAGGGGCGATGAACAGTAATAACCATGAAATTTTTGATACCTAATCACCGGTATAGATAACCATTTATCACCTGACATTGACCTCGACTCCAGCTAATGCAATACGGGGCTGTGCCGATGTTGTTTTGCTACCTATAATCCTTAGGGTTTTCTTTGCTCTGGATGAGAGGGACGCCATCTTCCCGCCATATTATCCGGCCTTCACATAATGCAGCTACTACCTCAACATACAATTTGTGCTCCTGATCGCGAAAATTAAGGGTGTCAACAGAAAGAAAGATGAAAAAATAAGAAGAAAAAAATAAAGGGAAAGATGGTCAACACAGTGGAAGCAAATGTTCTGATTATAAATGAAACCAAGAATTGGGTGGTAATGATTATTATTCCTTGAAACAGTAAAATATTTCATCTGGGCAAACCAGATTCGATAACGCTCACCCACCCAACCAAAGAAAAGAAAAGGGTGAAATATAAAAGTTCGATATAAATTTCAACGACCTCATGAAGAACCCTTGCAGCTAGCTCCTCTGCTGTGTCATTAGCAAGCACTGGAACTACTCTTTGAGCAAGTATACGACCTGTGTCATAATGCTCATCAACATAATGGATCGTAGGACCAGAGTACCTGTATTAACATTGCAATGGCAGAAAAATAAGATGGCTGAGTGAAGACGCATTTTAGTGACAGCCAAAATCGTTGCTCATATTAAAAGAAACGCAATACAGAAGGCAGACAATCAAGATGAACAAGCTAATTATCCATTAAAAAGTTTATGGTTGCATCCCGATGATTGATTATATCTAAGCAAATTGACAATTCTTATGACACTGATGTGAAATTTGTTGACTGGAAGAGGAAAAAAAAAATCAGTAGAAATTTATTTTTTGGCTCATATATCAAAAGTTTGCACTATTGAGTTTACTCTGTCAATTACGATGACAAGAAGAGAGAAAATTGTGAACTACACCATAACAACTACATATGAACTCTATTTGTCACTAGAATGCACCTATCCAATCGGAAGACAAACAAAATTCTTAAGAGTAAAGAACAAAATGGTAGCATCTTTGAACAAAATATTAGACAGCGAACGAATTGCTTCTATAGCCCAAATTTCAAATTTATAAATTGCTTGCACGCATGTCACCTATACTTAGGAAACTTGTGCATCTCCATTACTAAAACTGACACAGTTTTGGCATGAAGCCCCATTTCCAATATTAGTATTTGCTAACTTCAAAGATAAAAGATAGTCCATTACCTCTTAAATTTATGAATCATGATCACTAACAACTTTTTGGAATATCATAGGACGTAGTTCAATTTTCATATGAATAAAATGAATTAAGTACAGAACAGGAAAGAAAAAGAAAGGAAAAAGATATATATTGAACTTGCATACCTTGCTCCAGAAGCAATGACTGCTTTATGCACCTTCATACCAAAATAACCTTTGCCTCCAAATGCTGGAAGAAGTGAAGGATGAATATTTACTATGGATTTTGGATAAGCTCTGACCAACTCGGTAGGGATAAGCTTGAGGTAACCAGCTAAAAGAATGAAATCAACTTTGTATGACCTGAATAAATTAAAGCAGCACAATTGTTGGAAAGTTTTAAGGACGTGGCAGATCAAGGAATGCCAGAGACGCTGGGCTAAGAGGGTGGTAATGTGATATGATGCTGGATGTTGAAAAATAGTTCATGCAGATAAACCAAGCCAAGGCACGTGGATTAAAAGGCTGCAAAAATTACTTGATAGATAAAAACATAGTAAAAAGTAGCTGAAATACTAGGAATTAAAGCATCGTGGTACTTTTGAATTCAGTAAAAACTCAAACTTCCCATATATTATTGAGCACAAGGTTCATAACTGTTTAATCAGTGTTTTGTTCTTTTTTATGCTGAAACTCTACAAAAACAGAAGTATAAGATTCAAGGTAACCTCATTTCCCCTTCTGCTAAAAATTCAAATATCACATGCTAATAATCTTATGCTTTCATTTATTCTAGATTTTCAGTCAGGGGTCCCAGAAATGGAAGAGAAGAAAAACAAGCCCCAAAAACTGATGAAAGAGAGGAATATACTTCAAATTTACTTATTAACTGCTTCTCTTACCGTCGTCCTAAAAAATATTGAGGAAATTTTTATGCATGAACCGAACTAATGAATGAGATAATATGAGTGAGGACAAGCATGAGCAATTAGATAATCTAGATAAATACTTTCAGAAGGTTAAAAAGTGTCAAAGTAAAAGAAGACAGGCTGACCTAAGTGCAGCTATAAGATCTTCTGCGGATAAACCCTCAGTTGCATCTTTATTTTTAGGGAAAAGAATAACAGGGATGCCCTTATCTCTCGCATACTCCGCACCTCCACAATCTACAATTCCAAAGAATTGAAGGATAAAATATATGTAGAAATTAAACAAGATTCTGTGCAAAACATAAACTCAGCCCCCGTTTGGCCCCCATTAAATTCCATTTCATTTTTTTCTCTCTCCTATTTTCAACTACACAATCTTTCATAAAATAATATTACACGTAAATCGAAAACTTTTCCTTCACTTTCAACCTCTCATTTTTTAGAAAAACACTATTCCACCCATTTTCATTTCAAAAAATGGGGGGCCAAACGGGGGCTCATTCCGCAAATACTTCAACGGTTTCCACATGAAGATCAGTTCTGCTTGGCTGCCAGATTATTTAACATCTTGGATGGCATTTTGTCACTGGACTATTTAAAAAAAGTCAACAAGTCCATCCAATCATTTTTTGCCACACACTTAATCTGTCATCCAAGTTGTTAACATCATCTGGCAAAACAGCATTATTCCATGAAGATTCTCTGTATTAGGGAGCTCTTATCTCGGTGTACACAGCACCTTCATAATGTACCATCGCATAGGATCACATGATAAATATATGTTGAGTATAAACGATGTAGAACGGAAGTGTGTGCCAAATACAAAGGCTTTGTACAAATTCTTCAACGGTTGCCACGTATAAGAATAAGCAATTTCACAAAAAAATAATGATAACCACTTGTAGACTCAAATTAAAAGCTTAAACACTTCGAAACTAAGCCTGACAATTCATAACAGAAAACCATCTGTTGTCCAGAATCTCCAAAAGAACACAAATTCGACAAAATGTATTGAGTACACCATCAAGGGTCAAGTTAGACATAGAACAATTACGTAAATAAATTAATTCATACAGAAAGAAACAAAAGAAGAAACTTCAACAATGTAGTCCGTTTGACAATTCCCATTAGCAGCCAGAAAAATGAAAAATCACATGGTAATATGATTAGTGTACCGTATTTATTGGTGACCAAAACAACAATATCTCCATGGACGGATCCATTAAGAGTAGCATAAAAAATTGACCTAAAATTTGAGCCTCCACCAGATACAAATACTGCAAGATTTTTCCTTTTAGCTTTCGATTTTACATTATCTTCTTCTACATCAGAAACCACTTTATGTTCTGTTTTTATTACACAATTTCTGCGGCGTAAGTTTGTTGAAGCGGGTAAAATACAATGGGAAGAGAAGGAAGAATTGCTTTTCAACCAACCCCTCTTTGTGGAAAAGATTTTAAATGAAAAATAGGTGGGTACCGTCAAGACGCAAGGAGGTTTAGGGCTTTGAATGGATTGAATTTGTGAGCTTGAAGAAGGACAAAGAATTGAACCTTGAGCTCGAATTGACATTGATCCAACACTTGAATTTCCAGTGATGGGAGTGGAGAAATGAGTTAAAAGGGCATGAAAAAATTCGAAAATTTCCCAGTGCAGGTAATAGTTGGGGTTTGGGTGGGTTTAGGGTTTGAAGGCAGAAGAAAAATCTTCCTATTTTGCACTTTCAGTGTTAAATTTTTTCCTTTACGTTTAGTTTATTATCATTGACGTCCTTAACCTATATGTTTAGTGCGCAATTGATCCTTTTTACTGAAAAACCAAATATACCCCTAATTAGTAACTTAAAAGAATTAGGGAAAATTGCAATTAAGGTACCAAACCTTTCATTTGGTAGTACACTTGACCCAAACATTTCATTTATGCCACTTTAAGTATCAAACCTTTAAAAAACTCGCAGGTGAAATCCAAACTAACAGAAATTATCTATGACGTTGTCAATTGACCTATAGATTAAAAATCGATAATTTTAACCAAATAAAGTAAGGACATTCCAATCAAAACACATTTTCCATTTTAAAAATCAAAAAACCAAAATTAAATGATTTTCTTGGTGTATAGCATTAAAAGTTGTACACCCTTATAGTCCCCTTACAATGAAAAGGTTCACAATTTTTTAATTCATTTGGACCTCTCGAAAAAATGACTTCGGTCATTTTAAACGACTGTAGTGGTTTTTTATTGATTACTATTAAGCTTGAATGATATCTCACATTTTATTATATGTAATAGTTTAACTTATTCAAAATTAATTGTAAATTATGTACTCAGAATTGAATACGATATACTTCAACAATATGCAGTGGAGCACGATAAATCGTATATAACGAATTTCATCTTCCACTACGTTTTTAAAAGAAACAGTGGAGTACAATGATGAAGTTTCCATTCCTATGTGTTATTAAATGAAATAGGTTGAAATCAAGCATATACTAAAATGTTAGAAGTTTGAAAGGCATATTGTCTTTCATTATAAATGATGGTTTATATTATTCAAAATAAATTATAAATTGTGTAATTAAAAATTAAATACGATATACCTGAATTTTGTGGAGTGAAACACAATGAATTGTACAGAACGATGTTCATCTTCCTATACTTATTTTTAAATGAAATAGGTTGAAATCTAACTCAATTTGGAATTTTGAAAATTTAATTGACATTTCATCTTTCATTATACATGATGATTTAACTTATCGAAATTAAAATATAAGTCATATGCATAAAATCGAATGCAATGACCTGAACAGTGTGTAGTGGAGTATGACGATGAATTTCACCTTTCTATGCGTTTTTACATGAAATAGGTTAAAATGATAAAATGAAACACATTTTAAAAGGGTAGAAGTTCAATTGACTCTTTCATTATTCATGATGGTCTAACTTATCGAAATCAATTGTAAGTCGTATATTTAAAAACCAAATGTGGTAAACTAGAACGGTGTGTAATGGAGCACAATCCCATATGTACTATGATGTATGTTTTATATTGTGAGTCTTTGTTCAAATTCATACCTAATTTGTGTTTTGTGAATGTTGGACATTTTCTTCATATTCTTTTATTTTATATAACAAATGATGAAAGAAAATGACTTGAGTCGTTCAAACAATTGCAGTCATTTAAGATGATCGGAGTCATTTTCTGTTGTAATAAGAAAACGACCGTAGTCATTTTTCAGATTTACATCTCGTTTTTTATTATATACTTGTTTTCTGTACATTTTTAAATGAAATATTTTGAAAGCAAATCAAAAGCAGTTTCAAATATTATGCATTATGATTTAACTTATAAGGTTACATGTTTGATTGAGATCTCGTCTTTCATCATACATGATCATTCAACTTATTCAAATTAATTATAAGTTGTATACTTGAAATTCAAATATAATAAATACTTAAATAATGTATCATTATAATGAAGTTCGTCTTCTTATACATTTCTAAACGAAATGTATTGAATGTTGAAGAAATAGATACTAAATTAGACAAATTCATAGAAAAACAATTGCAAGTATTTCTAACGATCGGAGTTATTGTTCGAAAAGACTAGAGTCTTTTTAAATCTTTCGCTATAGTCGTTTTTTATGAGGTATTTCAAACGACTCTAGTCTTTTCGTAAAAACGACTTTGCAGGAAAACGACTATAGTCATTTTAAACAGCTACAGAATTTTTTCAAACAACTAGAGTGAATAGAGTATAGTGAAGCACAGTGATAACAAAAGCTTTTCAAAACCGAATATAGATAGCAAATTCATAGAAAAAGACTACAAATCTTTCAAAACGACTTTAGTAATTTTTCCAAAAGACTACAATCTTTTTAAACAATTAAAGTCATTTTAGGAAAACAACTTTAGTCGTTTTAAAAAACTGCAGTCATTTTTTTCCCAAAAAGACTTTAGTCATTTTTGGTAAAGGTTAGTTTATTTTTTTCACGTTAATTTAATTTATATAACAGGACAGATAATGTCCTTTTTTTCTATAATATTAATTGTTGACTATAGTTGTTTTAGAAAGACTGTCGTATTTCAAAATGACTTTAATTGTTTAGGAAAATGAATCTAGTAAAGATTGTAGTTTTTTTCCCTAAAACGAAATATGTTCTTTCTAAAATAATTAGAATTAATATTTTTGAAAGAATACGAGTGTAATGTGAACTAAATCAACTTGAAAAAATAAAAAACATAAGAAATCAACCCTTTGGAAAAAAATGCATTTTTAAACAGTGTTTTGATATAATTTCAACTATACATTCTTCAATAAAATAATATTACACGTAAATTTAAAACTTTTTTTTATTTTTCAACATCATATTTTACATCAATACACTATTCAAAATACATTTTTTATAGCAAAAATGGGGCTAAAACAAGGGCATAGTATACACACAACATACAAATACAAATAAAAAAGTCCTAGAGTTAATAAGTTGATAATTTGGTCATAGGTCGAACCTTTGGAATGGACTCTTTCCTTGGCCTCCTAACTTATTCTTTAGCCAACTAACTGTCAAAGTCGTCATGTCAAAAAGATGCAAGAATCGGTTGAAAAACTCTTCTCAAAATTAGTTAATCTCTCGTTGTATCTCTCTTTATATTTTGTACTGTTCGACAAAACTCATTTTTTCAACCACTTTCATAGGTACAACGAAACAAAATGTGTCAAGTGACTTTCCAACAACTCAAATTGTCTTCTTGTCAACTCAACCTTCTTCCGCTTCGTTAAAGCCTTCATTTCATCTAAAATCCCTAATTTCTCCAACACATAAAGCATGTATCATTAATCATATACACCACCCAACATAGAATTATATGGGAAAGGAAAATCAAAATGCAAAAGATACTTTAATCCTAGAAAAATAAAATTGCCTATAATACCATAAAATCAATATTAGAAACCCATATTACATTCTCGAAATTGAAGAAGAACGATATAATTTACCTCAAAGTAAAAGGAAAGCAACACAGAGATTTTTAAGAGGTCTAATGATTTGATTTTCTTCTCAATGTTGAATATCACTGTTAATTTGTGATTTGATGAGCAAATAGCCGTATTTGAAATTTCTTCTATTTAATTTTGTAGATTTTAGCTTTGGTTGAGATAGGAATTGAGAAGAAAAGCAAGAAAAAAAAAGCCAATTGAAGGGACAAAAAGAAATGGGAAGATGAAATTTTTCATAGGTTTGGAAGGGTAAAATAAGAACAATCATGCTACAGAAACAGAAAGTTTGACATAATGTCATGTGACTTTTCCTTATTAGACTATTTTAAATACAATCCGCTGTCTCATCCAATCAACTCCCGTCACGACATCTTTGATCATTGGATCTGGCCTGATTTTTCGATAAAAATAGCATTATTCAAATATAACAATATTAGTACTTTGATGAAATTATTTTTATATGTAAATTGTGGTCAAAGGCTAAAAAAAGTTTCCATCCATACCATTCTCACAAAAATATTTATAAACGGCCAGGAGCCAGTCCAATTTCATATCACAGGTGGACCGCCAACCAGCTAATAATTACCAAAGACGCTCGCAGAATTGAGAATTCACGCATGGAAATACTCGGTGCATAATATTACCCTGCAATCACCAATCGCCATAACCATAGCCGTGATCCGCCTTTTTCTGGGCAAATCCGCTGCCACAGGATTTATCTCGAATTATGGAGGGAGTGGGAGCTAGGCTAGGGCGGTCCTCAACTCGATACGCTCCCGCCACCGTTTTCACTGGTCCCGTCCGAAAGTGGAAGAAGAAGTGGATCCACGTAACGCCGTCCAGTTCCAATCAAACGGAAGCCAATAGAAGAGTTAATGGCGTTAATAACACTTCACATCTCTTGCTGTACAAATGGACACCGATCACTCCCAACCAAGACAAAGAGAATAATGGTAATGACGGGAACAATGAATCGAAGAACTACATTAAAGACGACGATGCTTCAGTGGAAGAGCCCCCCAAGCGTAAATTTAAGTACATTCCGGTACTTTTCTGTATTTTGATTTCTTCTTGATTTAGTTTATTTGCCTTCGTTGTATATGACATGTATATACGCTTGATGCTTCGGTGGGTTGGGTATGGATGTGGTGCCTACAAGTGTTGAATTTAACTGAGGATTAAATTGTTTGTATATAAATTCATTGGTAATTTTATTTTTTTTTAACGGCGAAATGTGGTTTTGTGTTCTTGAACTAGACTAAAAGTGAATACTGTTTTGGGTTTTGTTTTCAAATTAGAAGCTGGAATTGAAAGATATTGAGAATTGCCTGGGGTGAAAGGGTTGATCTCTGTTCTGGAGTGTGTCATTTGGTAATTTTTGGAATGTTTCTGGGGGTGGGCGTGGGAAGCAAACTCTGATTTTCTTCTTGTCTAATTAAAAATGTACATGTCTGATGTCCAGAGGGGATCGAGAGTTTTTGGATACTTGGGAACAATGGGAAGAATGTAAAATTTTCTCTTCTTTCTTTCCATTCATAGTAATCTTCAAGGTGAAAGAGACTGAAGATGAAATTTCATTTATAGAGGAAACATGAAAGTTAGGACTTAGGAGGCTTCGATCGTGGCACAATATTCTTGTAATTGTTTTTAGGGACCATTGACTCTGGGACGTAGATATCAGGGAATCTTGTGTTTGTAATCCGAGAGAATTTTTTGTGTGATAGAAAAGCCTGCTTTTCAAAATGGTGAAGGAATCAAATTTTTAACTGTATGTGGATGTTATCAGCTGTTTTGAGCTAAGAAACTACAGTTCCTGCTTTTTCAAAAGGTTTTATTGTTTTCAGTAAGCTGGAAAGGGCTGCATTTAGAGGTTATGAGCAATACGAAATGTCATAAAAAGTATGTTTCGATTGGCGCCTGTGTCTTCACGTGTGTGTACCATGCTTCATGCACATAGGGAAAACCTCATTTTTACTGAGTTTTCTGGCTCCAATTCAAGTTCATCTAATTCTCTATTCCTTGTATTTTTGTCTTTTAATAAAATACATTGTTTATAAAGGAAACAACGGAATTGTGAAAATGGAATCCCCTGCCCCCAGTAGAGAAAGGTGTACTCTTTCTCATCTCCATGAAGACATAAATGGAGTTGTTTTGTTTTACTGCAACCTTATATAGTGGCACTGTCTATCCTGGTACTTTTCATTAGCAGGTGGACCATTCTGGTCATTTGGCTATCTAGCCATAATATACCTGGAGACTTCCTATTCAAAGAAAAAGAACACTGCAAAATATATTTGCCATCATTGTTTACTGGATTTTCTTATCCGAAATGGAAGCATACTTTTTTGCTGAGTTGTCTTGATCTCTAGTCATTTCTGTTGGCATTGTTGAAGGATCATAAAAATTATGCCTTTTGGCAAACATATTAACGCACTTTATCTTTTTGCCTTCAAATTTTGTTCCTAACAAACAAATATATTACCTTGACCTTATGAAACAGTTTCAAGATCTGTTGGCATTGATGTACCTCTTCTTTGAAATCAATTGTATTTACGTATTTCAGTACTGAGTATTGGGAAAATATCTGTTTTGATTACTAGCTGCAAAATATATTTATGAATGATCAATGCGATTGTCACTTTGGCTTATACAAATTTCACAATGTCCATAAGATCGAAGCTGTGCAATGTATTTGTTAGCATCAACCTAATATCTCATGTCATCGTACAATTGCTCAGACCTGAATGTATGGCCTATCGTGTTTAATTTCTGTTACTCTCTAGATGCCTTTCTTTGAATCTGATTTTGCTCATACTAAATGGAACTTTCTTGCCTTTGTCATTATTTGCACTTTCTAAGTCTCATTTCCACGATTGATTTGTAATCTCCTTATCTTCGTATCTTTCATCTTTTGTGAGGCACTGGACCCAGTTGATCTTGATGCTAAATTAGCGCAGAGGCAGACGGAAGCGAATGATGAGATTGTATAATTTTTACATATTCGACACACGTTGCATACTGACCCTACCCCAGTACACTTTTAAGCAATTTCTGCTGTAGGGGATACATTCATGTATTGGCTTGAACATTATGAATCCTCAGGCATCACCATTCGCTTTTACTAGATATAATGTTTATTGTTGAATATTGAGATCTTTTAGAATTGATAGTTTAAGAAATACTATACAGCATCTATGGACCCATATGAACTGTAAGTATACTCCAGTTTTCTTTAGGAAGCCTCAGAAAATCTGAAGTTCCTTGTATTTTATTATTATATTGTGATTTTGCTGAGGGCAGTTCCATAGATTCCACTAATTATGCTATGTTTCATCCTCTGTTTTTGGAGATCGAAATAGATTGCTGTGTTGGAAGAACAAATGAACGAGTACTCAGACCAGTTAGAGGATGAAGCAAAGACAACTGAGTCTGATACAAATACAGTGGAGGCAACCTCCAAGAATGATGGGCATGATGAAAAGCCTGATATCAATGATGTACCGATTGATGATACTCAGGTGATTTACTTAACTTTGCAATTCATGGTTTTTTATTTTTTATCATTTGATAGATGTTCTTTCAGTGACCATCGTACTTGTAACAGAAAATTCTCCAAATATAACCTTTTGACTTTCACATAGGGGACCAAATTTTATTTGACCCAACCCAAATTTATTAGGAGCAAAGCTTGGAGTATGTTTACTAAGCTTAAAAGTAAGTAAAAATTGTTTCTAAACATGTTTGAATGTCAATTTTTTTCTCACTTTTAGCCTTTTTTTGTCAAACATTTAAGGGTGCGTTTGATTATAAGCATGAAATATGCATGGAAAGAAAATAAATTCTAGGTAATTCAATTACTTAAAACTTATTTGCATAAAAATTGTCAATTAAATGTGTTTGATTGATTTAATTTTCAACTTAGAAAATATTATACTTGTCCAATTTTTATTGGCGGATATATGAGAGAGGGAAAGAGAGAGTGAATTCCCTGAAAAATAAATCCTTCTTCCCCTAGAATAATATTTTTTTTGATTTTGAGAAAAATATGATCACATGACCAAAGGTAGAAAAACATTTTCCATGAAAAAATGTCAGGCAAATAGCACGAAAGTAAGCATTTGGATAGAAAAACACAATTTTCATGGAAAATATTGACAATAAAACGCACCATAAAGGTAACTAAAAAGTTATTTTTTCTAAGTCAAAGTTAAACATTAATTTTAATCCCACATTCCCAACTACTAACCAACCACACATTTAGTGTGACCCAATATTATTCCTCATAAAAAGTTACTAATAATTTTACATGAACGCCAACTCAGTTAAAAACAGTTACTTACAGTATGTTTGGTATGGATTAAAATTTTATTTTAATCTAAATTAAAGGCAAACAATCAATATTAACTACATCTTTTATGAGTTCCACAACTTTTCAACCACACATTTCCAAAGTTATTATCACAATTTACTAAAATATCTAATTTTAATCTCCACTAAACACCCTCTTAAATTGAAAGTAACTCTTACCTTATTGTCAAAATAAGTGACTTATTTTAAATTTAACCAATAAAAAGATGTAATTTATCTGGGACGAACTTATTTATTTGTGCTTATACAAACTTTTTGAGCAATGTCAAAACAGGTTCTTAGCTTGTTGACAAAGTTCTATTTGAATGCTACTAGCAGTTTTTCCTTTTTTCTCTAAGAAACTGGCAGCAGTTTTGAATTTTTCCAATTTATATTGCTCCTTCGCTTGGATTTTATATGCTTCCACCAGGTTGGATCTTTACACTGTTTCGGAAGTAGTCTTTGGGAGAGAATATGAGTACTTGTTTGAATGTTGAATAAGCATCGACACTGATGCCTGTTTGCCTTTTGATTTTTTTCCTTTTGAGCTACTTCTCTAAATCATTGCTTTCGTTGATCTCTCCAGATCTATTGCTATTTTTATAGGAGTTTGAATGTACATTGTATATTAACTTTTCAATTCCATTCGTATATGTCAGGCCCCAGAGGAAAATGCTGTAGAACGTAGAGATCTGAACAAAACCCCGTTGGACTTGAGTTTAGGCTTGAAGGCTAGTGATGGTGAAAATGAATCCAACTCAAAAACAGATTGATCAAATGCAGGCGGATATGGAAAACTTCAGCAAAGCAAAAGATGAGTGAATGCTATTCTATTCTCACAAAGAAACATTGGCTAAAATTGCTCTGCTTGTTAAATAAACGAGTAAAATCGAGCAGCTTAGCCCATATTCTTAATTTGATTTGATACTTCATTTATTGAGATGCAATCAATATTTTTTACGCAATTTTCCAGAATGTTGTTGGATTTTTGCACTGATCATTGTTGAATGCAATTTACACCATACTGGTTTGGCTTTATGGACTCTTTGTATTGCCTGTGTAGTTTTAACTATCTTTCAGCATATTTTTATCTTCAGTCTTCCATTAATCAGCCCAACTTGTTCATGATGACATTTTGTGTCCAAAATTTTCAGTAAGAAAGAATGTGTAAAAGGCTTATTTCCGCAAAAATAACAACAAATGCAAAATTGTAACTTGTTTGTTAAAGAATATGTTTCTTTAAAAACTATTTAAACCATTTATCCTTGATAATAATAATTCCCTTGGAAAAATCCGTGCAAAACAAGCTTTAAATATTTGTCATTCATTTTAGCACGTTAAAAGATTTTTTCGATGGAAATCTTTGTTAAGAACAAAATTTGCTAATTAATGATGAAAGATTAAGATTAAGCTGGTGATTAAAAAAGTTGGGGGCATATATATTATAATGAGTAAAGGACCTGATCTTTTAGAGCTTGTTTGGTAGAATTTAAAAATCAATTAAAATCAATTTTTTGATCGTTATTTCACTATTTTAGTTATTATTTTTGAATTCTTCTCTCACAAATAGGACCCAACTTTATTTCTAACAGTCAAAAAATTAATTATCAAAATTCTTACCAAACAAGCACTTAATGCAATAAAAGTTATTTCCTTTTATCATCCTCTTTCTCCCTCTTTCAATAAAAGGGACCATTATATCCACACTTTCCAAACTATATGGACTAAACTAACATTGGTTCTATATTTCGGGGTCAAATTTGATAACTTCCAAATTTAAGTAGTCAGAGACCTTCGAACCCGGTAAAGTCTGGCTAATCGGGTCGGGCCGAAACCGTGATTTGCCGCCATAGATTCACAGAGCCAAACCACTTCTTTACAACGACTTCAAGCTGTTGAATAGGTAATTTCCATCAAATCTATGTAGAAAGTAAAGGTACTTATGTAATTTCTCAATCAGCTGAGATGGTGCAAACAATTGAGGGATATCGCATAGCAGCTTGAGGCCGTGTGTTGTACCATAAGTAAGTGTGCTTGCTCAATATCACTGAGTCTTGTTGGGGGAAATTGGAGAATCATGTGATGATGAATGATTTGTCTAGATTTTTATGGCTTTTCATGTTTTGCGAAGAATTCAGAGAAGTTATGTAATTCGTAGTTTTTTTATTTTTCTGTACAATGTGTTTGCTCTTCTTTCTTTCGTTTTATCTTTATCCCTCTATTCAAGAAATTCATTCATCTAACACCAGTAATTTAGAGCAACGTGTTAATTTCATTACATCTATTTCCCTTACTCTGAATTCCCATGGTAGACAATGTTTAGAATCTCTAATTAACATTTATGCTTGAGAGTATAAAACCCCAAATTTTTAGATGAAGAAAGAGGGATTTCCGAAATCCTTTTCTAGCTGAAGTTCAATAATTATGAAGCATCCCCTGCCACAGTTACTATGGTGTGAAGGTGGTATTCAGCCAAATATCCTTTTTCTTATGAAGATAACTTATGTTGTCAAGGTATTTATGATGGGATAGAAATTGTAGAACCAGCAATATCTAACTGGTTCATCTTATTATCTTGAAAGGCTGCTTTGATCCCCTTTCTTTTTTTTTTTTTTTTTACAAGGTGTCCTATTCTAGACTAATTCTTGGGTCTGTGATCCGGCCCCTCTTCACACAGTCCGGTTAATCGCAGGATGTGCCTCCAACTGGCCAGGGTCTGAGCGCTCCCCACCTGGTCTGACAAAGTGCCAAGCAAGTCAATCCAAGTTGCACCTTGCCTTCCAAGAATAATCCTTGCCTTCCAAGTTCCCACTTGCCTTCCAAGAATAAATCATTGCCTTCCAAATGTTCCCTTGCCTTTCAAGAATAAATTCTTGCCTTCCAAGAGCCCCATGTTTCGAACTCACGACCTCTGCTCTGCCAGGTTTGACAGCGTCCGTCCTTTGCCAGTGGAGAAGTGCCCTGGGGGGCGAGCCAAACCACTTCTTTACAACGACTTCAAGCTGTTGAATAGGTAATTTCCATCAAATCTATGTAGAAAGTAAAGGTACTTATGTAATTTCTCAATCAGCTGAGATGGTGCAAACAATTGAGGGATATCGCATAGCAGCTTGAGGCCGTGTGTTGTACCATAAGTAAGTGTGCTTGCTCAATATCACTGAGTCTTGTTGGGGGAAATTGGAGAATCATGTGATGATTTATCTACTCTAAAAAAAATAGTTTTCCTTCAATTCTTTTTTTTTTTTTTTTTTTACAAGGTGTCCTATTCTAGACTAATTCTTGGGTCTGTGATCCGGCCCCTCTTCACACAGTCCGGTTAATCGCAGGATGTGCCTCCAACTGGCCAGGGTCTGAGCGCTCCCCACCTGGTCTGACAAAGTGCCAAGCAAGTCAATCCAAGTTGCACCTTGCCTTCCAAGAATAATCCTTGCCTTCCAAGTTCCCACTTGCCTTCCAAGAATAAATCATTGCCTTCCAAATGTTCCCTTGCCTTTCAAGAATAAATTCTTGCCTTCCAAGAGCCCCATGTTTCGAACTCACGACCTCTGCTCTGCCAGGTTTGACAGCGTCCGTCCTTTGCCAGTGGAGAAGTGCCCTGGTGGGCCTTTGATCACCTTTCTTTCTATGCCTTGTCATCGCATAAGTAACGATTGGAGTTTTTGTTTTAATAGTTTAAACTGTTCAATTATGCATTGACACGTGTCCAATCTAAATTGAGCCTGGATGTTTAGTATGATTGTACTAAATTACAGCTGATTGCGGTTCAATGTGCAAACCAAGTTTCATTGCTGAGTAATCGTTGACGAAAAAATGAATGTGGATGTGGAATCACTTTCAACCATTGACCAAAATGATTCTTCATGCAATTGTGTTGTACACCCATACACCCCTCTCACAATGTGGGTTGTCAACAAATATAATATTCATGTGGACCCTTCACATTGTGAGAGGGCTGTATACCATGGTATACTAGAAACTTTATTGCTCAGGCCTAGCTTTTCACATTATATTCCTATTTTGATAAAGGACTGTATACCATGGTGTACAAGAAGCTTTATTGCTCTACATAGGGCTTGGCTTTCCATTATTTTATATTCCTATTTTGATAAAGAAATAAATAGTACAACAATTATATGATTTGTCAGTGCACACTAAGCCCCAAGCTTATGTATGCATATTGCGTGTTTAGCTCTTGTATTGAGAATCTAATTCTGATCCACTGAGGATCTCTTTGAATCTGCGCAGCTGCAATGTAATGAGGTGCTGAGGAAGGGCAGATGGTAAAAATTCCATTCTTCTTTTATTATTAAAATAAAACAATGTGAAGATAACTTATTTGGTTGCAACAACGTTCAATCTCTTTATATGTATAAAAAGATTTTCAACGCTATCATGGTTGCTTCAACTTGTTCCATCTCTGCATCGTAGGATCTTGAGGCAGCCTCTGTTGTAAGGTCTTGGTGTTTGAGGCAGAAGAATCTTAGGTTTTATTTCATCTCCACGGCGTAAGACATCATAGCTGATGAATTTTTTATCTGCTGCTTGAACTAGAATGGAGCACATCAGTAGCACTCCTACGAAGATCCTTGCAATTTTGGGCATAGCCATTGGAAATTTCAGTTACTGTGTTTTGCTTTGATTTTATTGAACACGCTCTTGCAATCAGCTCCAGATATATAACGATGCAGCTACGCGGTTGAGAGAGTAATGTATTTAATGGTATGATATTACTGGCCATCTGAGGTATAAATATTTAATTCTAGAGCCTGTTTGGTTTGAATTAAAATTTGATTTTAATTTAAATCAAAATTAAACAATCAATATTAATTACATTTTTTTAGTCCCGCAACTTTTTCAATCACTCATTTCAAAAACTTCTATCACAATTTTATGTAGTGTTTGATTCCCATTTTTTCTAAAACGTATTTTTCTATCTTTTTTCAACAACATATTATTCATTAAAATTATACGAAAAAAATTCTGCTTTTTTAAATACAAATTCTCAATCAATTTACTATTCTAAAATACATTCTTTAAGGGTCCGTTTGATTGTAAAGATGGAATTTGGATGGAAAGAAAACGAATTTCAGGAAATTAAGTTAATTAGAAATTGTTTTACTGGTAATTGTCAATTATTGTGCTTCACTAGTAAAAATTTTCACATGAAAAAAGTTGAAATAATAATTTATTTATTTTTTTGTATTTATTTGGTTTTGTTTTACACAAAAACTGTCTATTAAAAGGATATAATTTATCGGTATTGAGGATATAATTTGTTTCCATTGAAAAAAAGGGGCTAGGAAAATCATCTATCTTTTGGTGTTCGTTTGATTTTTTTACATGAAAATTGTTAATTAAAGGATTTATTATTATTATTATTATTTGTTTTTACAATTAAAGATAGAATTTGTTTCCTTTAAAAAAAAGAAAAAGAAAAAGCAACAAACAAGAAAACCAATTCCCAATTAACCTACAGGAATACAAATTTCATTTTCGTGGAAAATAGGGTCACGTGCCATAAAATTAGAAAACAAATTGTCAGGAAAATATTGCCTATCAAGCATGGCAAAAAGTGGAAAATGGCATTTTCAATTCTAACTTCCAAGGAAAATATGGCGTATCAAACGGAGCTTAAAATGAATGTCGCTCAAAGACACTCCTACAAAATAAAATTAATTTTAACCCCCATCAAACACTCTCCTAGCCAATAGGTTAGTTTCTGAAAAGTCAAGAGATGCCAATACCAGTATTTAGTGTAGGCTGAACAATCAGGGCATATTTGGTATGCAATTTAAAATGGTAATGGACGATCGTCTTATTTAATACCTGTTGAATATTTATTGAACTTAAACTTTTTAAACTTTACATAATTGTCAATATCTTCGTTTTAAATCACTAAGAAAAATAATTAACGCGAAACATATCTTGATCCATTGATTTATATCTTGAATAATGAATCTTGAAGCTATAATTTAATCTTGATTTCTTGTTCTTCAAATTTGATTCTTGGTTATAGATTCTTGAATTTTTCAATCCTTTGTTCTTGATTCTTGAATTCGTTTATGCAGGTTTTGGATCTTCTTCTTTAATATGCTTTCTCTGTTAATTCACGTGTTAATGGGATGGCAAAAAAAAATGAGAAATTACGTATGAATTGAGAATCATAATTGTGACACCCCCAAATCTAAATAATTAGATTTGGAAGTATTATCATTTAATTTATTCTTAAAATCATAAACGATGTAGTGATTAAATTTTTATTAAATATAATGAACGTCATTGACTTTATTTATGAACATAACATGTAGAAAACTTTTCCACTTAAATGAAAAAACAATAAAATTAAATGTTGACTTTAATATTCAAAAGAAGTCGATATTTAAATATATTAGTACCGAGTCTATTGTACCACAAGTAGTACTCTCAAATCATCTTGCCTTCATCATTTAAAAATGGGGAAGGATAGTGTAGATGAGCTAATGCCTAGTAAGCAAATCTCATGAATATAATGCATGATTATGATATGCATATGAATTACTTTAATCAAAAAGTATTTCTCAATATGTATCTAATTTTCTTTCATTTCTTCAAAAGCTTAATATTGACATAATAAGTGCACTTGGGGTATTGCTTTGACAATCAGAATGTAGTGGATAATTATTATTTGGAATCCGGTCGAGTCCTACCGACAGTATCGCAAAGCGGTTAGTATTAACATTATCATTGAACATTGATCGGGTGTGCCTATTTTTCATGCCCAATTTTTCACTCACACATTTCATGGCATAAACATACACATCGTAACAAAACATTCGAAATACACATTTTTAAAACATTCATTGACTCATTGACATTTAAAAACTCTTATTTCTTGAAACTTCATATATGATTATGGATGCATCGACATGTAAAATATATGCAATGAGAAACATTAATGACATAGAGCATAATAATTAAATATCCCATTTTAGGTAATTGAGTATTTTCAGCACCACCCCAGCACAAGGGATATGGAAAAATTAGGTAATTGTGTGGTTTCAGCACATATTAACAAGCAAATGGAAAGCCCATTTTACAATTTTAATTCCCGTAAACCAATTTTTGCAATTTTCATGTGCGAATTTCCACGTACCAAATAATTCCCGTTTCAATTTCGACATACCATATTTGCAATTCCTATAAACCATTTCAAATTTTCACAAACCAAAGTTTGCAATTCCTATTGCAATTCCATGGCTAAAACCCTTGAGGCATATAAAGGCGAAAGGCTTCAACTTTCCACTTCATAAATGAACCTCTAAAGACAACCACCTATATACACACAAAAGAGAACGGGGCAGTGGTGAGTGCATGGCACTGGCGTTGGGCAGGTGCGATGGCTCCAGTCGCTGGTCGTGGTGGTGATTTTAGGGTGAGGGGTTAGGAGAGAAGGGGATGGTGGTGCGTGGTTCTTATTTTGATTTTTGTTTTGTTTTGTTTTTTTTTTTATTTAATTATTAATATCTTATAATTGTGTTTTTGTAAATGTAAAGTTACCATTTTATCCTTCTAAAATTATTCAAAATTAGGAGTGGACACTTTTTTCCAGAACCTAGTGATGACAACGGGACGAGACAGCGAGTGGGCACTTTTTTCCAAAACCTAGTGATGGCAACGGGGCGGAGAGCCCCGCCCCGTTTCTCCTGCCTCATGCCCCGCCCGGCCTTGCCTTTGACGGGGCGAGACGGTGTTCTTGCCCCGTTTAATTTTTTTTTTTAATTCCGAGTTTCATAAAATATGGATAACATACAAGCTAACAAAGTTAATATCCAAAATAAATACTACAAATCTTAAATATAATTTTCGCTATTGTTACACAACATTGATTATTAGGATGAACAATATTTTTTGTGTTTTTTCCTTTGATATTGTCACAAAAGTTGTAATCCCACATGCTTTAATTTATTATAATATATAGATTTTCAAAGTTGTTCAGTTGAACACGTTATATCTTTTTATATTTATTTTTATCAATATAATATCAATTTGACAAAGTAGCATAATGGTATATATAAATTAGTCAAGTTTGATAAGACTTGTACAATTGAGGATACTAGAAAATATGTTACATCCTTCTATTTGAAACAAGTTGAACCCTAACCTTTTAATGTAATATAAAAATAATAATAAATAAATAAATTCACGGGGCGGGGACCCGCGCCCCGCGACGGGGCTGATTTTTTTGCCCCATTTGGGGCGGGGTAAATTGCTATCACTATCAGAACTGGTGGAATCGGATCGGAACCGTTTAGAACTGGCCGATTCGGTTCCGGATCTTCTAAAAAATAATTTGATTTCAAGACAAATTTTTAAGAACCGATCGGTTCCGGTCCGGTTCTAGTATGGGAACCGCGGGAACCAAACGGTTCTCATTGGATTTTTTTTGGGTAAAATATATGATTCAATCTCCAACACTTTTCTTAAAAATAATCGAGTTCCTTCTTAATTTTAGACTCCAGCACTTTCTTTCTTCTTTTTAATTCTTTCCTTGTCTCTTTTTATAATTCTTTGATTAATTGATTTTTAAGCCAAATTAGAATATATAAATTTATTTATAATATATAATTTCATTTATAAGATGCGAAATTTTTATTTTGTTTTCACTTTGTACATCTATACCTAAATAAATCTTTGAATAGTATGTTCGGTTCTTCTATATTTTGTTAAAAGCATCACGTTGGTAGCATTTTTAGAGTTTTTATTAGTGAACATTTTATTTTAACATTTTCAATGTAAGGAATCGGACCAGACCGAATCGGAACTAATTGGTTCGATTCCGGTTCGATTCCACAGTTAGCTAAGGAACCAATGGTTCCATTTCTAAAATTTCCATCGGTATTCGGTTCGGTTCGGTTCCGTTTCCTTTGGAACTGGATAAAACCGAATCGACCACTCCTACTCAAAATTATGGTCAATGTTAATTTTCTGATCAACTAACGGTCAAACTAACAGTTTTCATTCATTTGGAGTCTAGGTATGAGTTTTTGAAAGGTTTGGTACCGTTGGTGATACAAATGAAAGGTTTGAATTAAATCTGCTATTAAAAGAAATGTTTAAAATCGTGACTACAATTATCCCAATAAATAAATAACTTTTTATTAAAAGAATCATTGACTAATAAATAAAATCATGTTAATAGAAACGAATCTATTGAAACTTAAGAATTTTGTTGCTTTTTTATGCATTATATAACATGATTGTCTGAATAGAAAAAAAGACTAAGTATAATATAATAAGCTTATGGAACAAAACTCTCAATGTTGTTACTTACAAACAACATTATAAATTAGAGAAATCGAGATATAATTATGAGGTTAGAGAGTTTATTATTATTATTTTAAATGATAAATATGTAAGTGAGTTGATTTGATTAATCAGCGGTTTGGGAGTTCAAATCATGTTTAAATCGATTCACCATGACTTTCTTTAAACGAAAATCACATCAAACCAATTAATTGTGTCAAATCTACCCCGGCTCAAACGTGTTCAATTTGATTAGTTTGATTGATTTGTTGGAAATGGTGGGTCTATTGGGTCAATTTTGACCACAATTTTAAGTGGGACCCGATGTTCGATGTATCGAGATTAATGTTCAATTAAATTCTACGTTCCGAGTAGATGAGTGTAGAATATTTAATTGTGAAAAACCATTTCAATATGAATGAGAAATTATGGTTGAAAGTTGGATAATAAATAAGAGGATAAATGGGAAAGAATTGGAAAAATGT